TGGCTGGGGAATTCTGGGAGTTGAAGCCCACCCATATTTAAGTGGCCAAGGTTGAGAAACACTGCTTTACGAATGGGGTCCTTCTCTTCTTGGCAACCTGGAAGTTTCCAGTTGAAGATTCAAGCCAGGATCGTAAAACAAATCCTATGTTAAGATCCTTGTCTTGTTTCCAAAATGGGATCTATGGTTTTGAATTTTACACGCAAGGGAAAATCTGTCGGGAAAGACGAGACAAGGCAGAGGATACTTTCTGATCGCTGAAATCACTTGGTCTCCCCTTTTATAAAATCAGGAGATGAACTGCAAAGCTAGTGCTACTGAAACAGCATTTCATGCCTACCGTTGCTCTTCCACCATCAAGAGCAGAACATGGGAGGAGCTTTGAGTCTACAGGTCGCTCCAGATTAAAAAAACCCTTTATATCTAGAAAAGCCAGGTCAAATCCTGACACGTAAACATGCACTTTCAAACCACAGCACTGGATGAGTTAATTTCATGGGCAACTATGGTCCCCCCAAATAAAATAAAAACGTCACTTCCTCAGTTTGCAAAGATGCGAGGGCCTGCTTTTCTTTTCCCCTCCCACTGCACGCACGTCCATGCAGCAAGCAGGATTCATAGCGGTCAGGTGAAGAGAATAAGATAGGCAAAGATGGTACTGCGACATAAAAGGTCTGGGTATACATACAGCATGTCCGGGCAGTTATCTGGCTTCTCCAGGAGCCCTCCCTCCATCACAAAACGAAGGACTTGCTCATTGGACATGCCTTGGTAAGGCTGCTCTGCTAAGGTGGCAATTTCCCATAAGACGACGCCAAAAGACCTGCAAGGGAAGCCAACAGGTTAAGAAACATCCCAGCCACACCAAGCAAAGGTTTCTCCAGTGCAACTCCAAAGTAAAACAGGTAGAACTAACATGAACGCATGGGCACTGGGAGGGGCGCGTGCAAGAGGCGTATGAGTCCTGCGATGACAACACCACGCAAATATAACTTATGCATTTGCATCGCAACAACTGTGTCATCTGCATCATTGTGCGCATGTTGCCATTGTGGCACCGTCATGGGTTGTTACAGGCGCAGGAACAGCTTTGCCACAAAAAAATGCAGTGTTACGTCACCAACTGGGAGAATGGCAGTATTGTAACATGAGTATAAATTACTTTGAATAACACCTGGCTAGAAAGATGGACATAAACTGAATCAATAATAACCACTGCCTTTTATGTGCTCTTAAAAACAAAACAAAACACCATAGGGCCTGATCTGGTGAAATTTAATTTGGGGTCAATTGTATAAACTACACTTTAGATAAAATAACAAACTGATTTGTTGCAAACAGACTGGAAGCTTTTATCTCCTGTCTTCATGAGGTTGCCACACTGAATCCTATTCAATTGTAAATATTTAAACACTAATAACCAAGGTAATTCCCAAATTCAGCTTTGAATGGAACACCTAAGTGTGCTTTAAGAATACTTAATTGATGTTTATTTTATTTATTGAATCTCTGGTCAGAGCCTGAAAGAAAAACACAGATACAATATAAATCAGTAAACAGAGTGCAGAAGACAGAAATAGTGGCCCAAATTCAAAATAACTGACTTTCTAAGCTCAATATGGAGAACTCAACCATCCTACCGTAAGCATCAATTAAACACAGCCCCTTCTGGTGGCAACTGCAGTGGAAGTTAGCAACTTTTGATGGAAAGTCCACCAGGAGAAAGCCCCCCCCCCTTTCATTGATTTCCCCCACATAATCAAATATTCCTGTTCCAATTATTTTGGATTATATGGAGGAAAAAAGTTTAAAATACCAATGTTCCTTGTAAAACTAACCTGGTTTTTTTGGTTTATGGAATGGATTCTGGATCATATTCTATCCATTTTTCTTAATTCAACATCTTCCAGAAAACTCATGTTTCTTAAATGGCCTTCCTGTGTGGATCAGCACTGCCATTCACACCTCCCTGAGTTACGTATCAAAGGCTATTATGGAAAATTCTCAAAATACTACTGGCCAGAGTTGCGCTGGGCATACAACTCCCAGCCATGGGGAGGCTGGAGAGGCAACTGGTAGCTTTAATTGCAAACAACAATCAGAGTTGAAGCTTAACCTCTGTATTCTCAGCTCTATTCCCTCCTCAAAAGGAGTGGAAAGAAAGATATTGAGAGATGTGTTAGTTGTGATGGAAAGGAAGAGGAACTCTCAAAGTAACACTTTTACGCCCTGGAATATAGGGACTGCAAACAAATATATCTTGTACTTCTTCTTCAGGCACCCTGTTCAAAGAAAATGTGACCTTTTCTTATCCAGAAAGAAATCTGGAGTTACAAAAAGCATTGAATGCAGTGTTCCTCAACTGTGGCAACCTTAAGAAGCGTGGACTTCAACTTCCAGAATTCCCCAGCCAGCGAGCTTTAAGCTGTGTGGACTTCACAATGGCTGGGGAATTCTGGGATTTGAAGTCTACACATCTTCAAGTTGCCAAGGTTGAGAAACACTGATCTAACGGGTTGGCTCTTTCAGAAGGCATTATGTTTAGCTGCCTTTACTGTTTTGCAGAATGGAAGTTAAGTCCAGTTTTGACAAGGAAAGCCTCGGTGACAGGAAAATCCAAGGATGATTTGTACAGAAAGATCTGCCAGAAGGTAATGTTCCTGCCTAATTTATCCATTCCACAAGACCCAGATGGGCTTTTTATTCCAAGTCACGCATGCCTGTTGGGCGCAAAATATTCACAGGAATATGATATCCAGAAGGAGGCTACATCTACTGCATGGATGACTTCTCCACACGTATGGAATGTGGAGAACTGTTGGAATCAATCAATCAAATATTAGAATCAATCCTGAAGCTGCCCTGATCATAACTAGAATTTCATTACTCTGGGATCTGGATTCAAATTATCTCCTCCCACAACCTTATTTCTGCCTTGTTTATTTTTATGCCGTCAGTGGAATCCGAAATAAAAACTATGCAGCTCAGCTCCAAAGTTAGCCTTTCCAGAAGACGAGACTGCAAGTGAGCAATGGGTTCCCCCGTCCCAAGAATTCTGCAATGGGAAGCCAAAGGGTTTCCAAAATATACAAATCTATGTAAGGAGCATGCCTGCCAAGGTTGGAGCTCTAACATGCTTCTCTGGGGCTGTGGGAAAATAGCACAGAAACACAATGACACAATGTTTTAATGATTACAATTTGAAAGCTATTATATCCAGGAGTTCCATCTCAAGCTGATTTCTGGTTCTTCCTGCCACTTTTACTATAGGTCCTTATAAGAAGCCCTGCGTAAGCAGAGAAATGAGCCACTTTTAAAACCAAACAGTTTTTGCTATTGGCGTAACAATCAAGTTTCAAGGGCGCCACAAAGCAGAATCAAAGAGTGCAAAGAATGGTTTATTACCAAACGTCCGAGTGTGTCGTGAATACACCATCCTTCAGTGATTCTGGGGACATCCAACGGACCGGCAACAGTCCCTTCCCACCTTTTCGGTAATAATCAGTCTCATAGATATCCCTCGTCATGCCAAAATCTACACAGCACACAAGAGACACGTGTTCAACCAACGGCAGCTTAAGCAAAAACCGAAATAACAGCAAAATGAAATTCAGCTGGCAAACATTGGCTGCGTATCTCTGTTACCAATCTACCCCAAGCTTTTATTTCTGCTTCGCAGGACTCACCAGATGTATTAAAAGCCCCCATTTCATCTCCAATCATAGAGGTTGAGGAGGCAACATGGTGGCCACCAGGTTTCCTATCAATCCCAGCTTCATTTATTTATTATTTTAAAGGTTTTGTTGAGTTAAAAAAAAAAAGGAGAATGCCAGGCTACAAAACCAAGTGTCAGCCTCTAATGTCATCTTGATTACAAGAATCCCTCTTGGTCTCGTTTGGGGTCAGCACTTCGAGGTAGGCTTCACAAACAGTCTTCACAAAGACTACTGGAACTTTACTTTTGTCTTCCTCTGAGCTACTGCAAAGAAAATACTATAATGTTCCTTTAATTTGCTGTTTCTGCCCTTGTAATATGGATGAAGTTGAAGCTATCACACATTTGTTACGATGCTGCAATGTTTACTTGGGTTTATGTCAAAATTTAATTCTTTCTTTTCTAGCAACCATTCTAGGGCAGTTACATGAATTACTATGTAGCTTTCCTGTTAACTGACAAAAACTTCCAGGTCATTTATAATGTTGCTGAGACACTTCCTAAAGATCAAGTTCCACCCATATAAACCTGGCTTGTTTTTTGTACATGTGTTTGTCTGTTTTGCTGACTTCTGGCCATAGTAAAGCTTTACTGTAGCATAAGAACAGAATCTTGAAAGCCTGAGTTTTTCTCTCCTCCCTTTTATTATGAAAGAGAATCAAGGTGGAGTAATCTTGAATTTCTTTCTCACCCCCAACTCTGTTCCAGGTCTAAGTGATGTTTATGTAACTGCCCTTGCATTCTCCTTTTCAGAGTTAGGTCCATCCTCCTCCATATATGGGTTCCAAAAGCATTTCCAAAAAAATTAAAAAGTTGGTGGCTACACCACAGTGTTTTGATTGGAAGTTGTTAGAAACTAAGGGAGGGAAGGCAAGAGAGACGGGGAATCCCAGAGAATAATCTCACCAGTTTTCCTTCTGGACAGTGGCTATTCAGTGATGCCACCATAACAAGCTCATCCCCTGTGCAGACTTTTGTGAAAGGACCGAGGACATGCTCTCAAAATTCCAACCCCAAAGAGGTTCTGATAGGAATAAACATGAAGCCTATCAAGGAGTCCACATTTTACTCCATAAAAACTTGGAAATGTTTGCCCTACCCAGTTCTGGAGACTTCACAAAGATTCACAAGATTTCACATGCTTGTACATGTTGAACCTTTTATGTCTACAACAATACTAAACGTTGTTTTTTTTTAAGTAGTAAAGAAGACGTACCTCCAATTTTCACAGTAAAGTCCTCTGCCACCATGCAATTCCTCGCAGCAAGGTCTCTGTGGACAAACTTGTTGGCATTGAGATAGGCCATGCCATCTGCAATCTCACCAGCCATCTGAATCATCTTCTTTAGGGCTGGAGGCGTCTGAGCTGGGTTATTCTAAGCAAGGAATGGATATTACCACCAAGTCAGTAAAGAAAGTTAGGCTTTCTTCCTTCTTAAAACCTCCAGACTTGGCTCGTTTTTCAATGTCTTGGTTGGCAATTCATTTCATTGGCTGCCCAGTGTAACTAATTGCTCTCCCTTGAAGTGTGTGCCAAAAAGTTCACACGCTGCTCCCTGTCTCTTACCTCCAGCAGCAGGACAGAAAAGTGGAACAGGAGAGGAAGGAAAGAAACAGAAAAGATAGGCCATATACGTCATCCAACCTTTCCCCATCTTGCCCCCAAAGTTGTTTCTACAATCATGTTTTTAGGAGCCAAGATATTTCTGTATCTCATCTCAAGGAACACTGTTTGCTTTACAGTCACACTTTAATCTTCCTCCTTCACAAACACCAGATGCTTCTACGATCTCACCGTAAATTATTTACAACAGAAGCCATCCACAAAGGCGGCAAGGGCCAGGGAGAACTCAACATGTACTGCCAGCCCTTATTTCACTTTTATTTGGTTCTTGAGGATTTTTCCCCCTTTCTCCTGCCTTCCTTGGAACTTGTGAGAATACACAGGGGTGGGTACTCATCTTCTGTTGCCAGCATGAATATTAAATGTCAGCTGCATGACTAAATATTAGTGTTTGTTGCTAAACTCATTCATAATTCAAGGCAAAACCAAAAGGGAGCAGTGCGTCCTACTGAAAGTCATGAGCAATTAGCAGGGCTGCCTTACACTAAACAACCATACTGGGTAATCCAGAGTCAAGAGCAAGGGCAAAACATTTCAAACTGAGACCTGAAAGCCAGCTGATTTAGCAGCAAGAACAAAGGAAGGCGCATGCAGCTACTGTGTTGACACTCAGATGGGCAAAATGGCTAGAGGATTGCTGTTTTATCATTTACAAGAACAAGAATTAAAAGGTTGTGATGAATGCATCTTGCTGCTCAAACATGGAGTGTAACTGTACAGCAAATTGCACCTTTTCTTCTTCATACGTCCCCACCTGCTCACTAAAACTGGAAACATTTGTCTCTTGTAGAACATCTTGACTCTTTTTCCTACCTCGACATGACTGGTAAGGGACTAAGGAAAAAGTTGTGGCTTGCTTAAACCAAGTTTATGGAAACCATGTACTAGCAGAATAGGGGTGTTCCAGCTGCAGCAACACAGAAGCAGCATAAGAATCCAAAGGGGTGTGTCATACCCATTTGGGAAGTTTCAGAAGGAAGTGTTAGCAATATATCTGCACCTAAATGCACCCGTGTAAGAATGCTATAATTTAACTCTACACCTTTCTACCGCCTGACCCTCCTTCTCAAACATGCCTGACTACAAGTCCCCACCACGGTCATGCTTTGGGGACTTGCATTCAACCACAATCCAAAAGGCACCAGAAGGCTGATTACTCCTAACTGAATATCTAGAACCCACCACATTGCTTAATAAAACTAACAATGCTAAAATTTTGGATGGGTAGTTAAGCTCGCTGCTCTTTCTAGCCAGGGGACTATCTAATTCAATCACATTTCCTTTTAGCACTGTGTGGTTAGATAACACTCTGAGCTCTCTCTCTCTCTCTCTCTCTCACACACACACACACACACAAACGCATCAGCCAAGGTTAGGTATTGCTGGGCGACATGCTATTTCAGAGACAGCCTACAATTTCCTTGCTGCCACTGCTATTTTAATTAAGCCTCCTTCAGCTCTCTTTTTTTCTTTGTCCTCTCAGGCCTGCTCTCTTCTTGCCACCACACAAGATGGAGAAGGACTGCACAGCCTGTATCATATTGTCTCTCTTTCCACCTACTCTGCCAAAAAAAAAAAGCTCCCTAAAAGTAAAGAATGTCTTCGCCCTTGCCAAATACCCTTCATGCTACTTTGCAGAAGAAGACGCCCCTCTTGGGTTGCAGTCAAGCAACCTGAAATGATATGGTCTGTGTTACCACCCCGGCAACTCATGATTTTGTTCTCCTGCTGGGAAAGGTGGACCACAATCACCCCCTTCTTCAAACTCTGTCCAGGAACCATCCTTCTTCAGCTTTCAAGTCACAGTAACCGCTTTCTTACATGAACACCCCAACTGAGACGTTCAACGTACATGGCTTTGTAACAAACTAAGTTGGCCATGGTGTCTTCTAAATCTGCAGTGGAGGGAGAACAGGGCTTACAAGGATTTTCCCAAGTACTGTATATACTCACATATAAGCCCATCCTCAAATAAGCCTACCCTCAAATTTTTAATCAAAATACCACGAAGAATGTGCCACCCATGGATAAACTGGCCCTCAAAAATTTTGTATGTTTTAATTTTCACAATTAGCTTATCTGTGGGTAATCCATGGATTATCCGTTTTTCATGGTATTTTGGTTAAAAATTCAAGGGTCAGCTTATCCATGGATGGGCTTATATGCGAGTATATACGGGATATCAGGGTACTCTTAAAAAGTATTATCATATATACTTGTGGATAAGCCCGCCTGCAAATAAGCTGAACCCAATTTTTGGGGTGCATTTTGGCACCTACAATTCTCAGTTTATTCGCAAGCATATACAGTAATCCAGAAAGGATGCAAGGATTCAAAATGCCTGATGTCACATACACTGTGACCTACATGTCACAAATACAGCAATTCCTACAATTGCGGTCCTAGCATGTATTTTGTTATCCCTTTAGGTTGTGGGAAGTTTTTAAACTTTCTTTCTGAAGCCTCTTTGGAGTATAATGCACTGCGTCCATATTTCTGCTATTATTTATTCTGCAATCTATTCTATTATTCTATTATAAAGAATAAATATTATTTATTCTTTGTCTAGTAACACGTGACTAGCTATGGCGCCCAAACCTTTTAAAAGAAAAGCAAAGAAAGATGCTTGGAAGATCAGCAACGAACTAATGTGCTTATAACTGAAAGACCTGCAGCTTGACAGAAAGTCCTCCACGAATTAACAAATGGGTGAGGAAAAGAACGCGTCCAGGACACTGCATATCCTTTTTAATCAATCAGTAAATAGGGGTTGCAAATCAACCATGAAGTGGCAAAGATCTGAACCACTCTCCCAACACTACAGCGGATGACCTGGACTAACCCCCACATAAAAATGAAGCGGTTTTCAAAGACCATCCTCTTTGCACGAAGTGCATTTCCTCCCACGACCACACACATACTTCCGTGTCTGGGCGGAGAGACCGCAGGTAGCTCTTCAGATCTCCTCGTGTCATGAGTTCCATGATGACCAGAGTGGGCTGGCCTTGAGAGACAACTCCAAGAAGCCGAACCTGTCAAAAGAAACATGCAAATTGCATGCTTATGGGCGTAGGAACTTGGGAAGAAGGTCAGTCACTGGAACTGATGGTCACGCTGATTGGGGGATCATGCTGGGGAAGTTGGTTTTAATGGGAACATCCATATTTTATTTGCACTGGGAACAGAAAGGCCTTGTGGGCACTCGTATATAATTCTACCTTAAATATGACTCATATTGTATGGAATGAAGCTACTGGCAGCACAGCTTCGGAACTCATTTTTTCTTTCCATCAAGGACCACATCAATTTTTCTCTTATGGATAGGTTCCAATCTTAGCAATTCTAATAATAAAGGTTTATCCATGCACTGGTAGCTTCGCCTTGATTTTATCATGTTACATATAAATGACATGTCTTAATGTCTTAAATATAAAACAGCATGCATTTCATTGGGAAATCCAAAAGGAAAAAAAAGACAAAACCTAAAAATGGCTAAGAAACGTCATGTACTCAATTATGTACTAAACTATAGTAAAAGCAAAAAAAACCTGCTGATTTTTCTATGTTAAATTACATATTCCAGCATTCTAGTACAGGAAATGCTTGGTTAATGATGGTAATTGGGACTGGAATTTCTGTCGCTAAGCGATGTGGTCATAAAGCGTGATGTCATGTGACCTCATTGCATAGCAATTGCAATCCTGGCACTCCTCGTTGCTGTTGTTAAGCAAGGATCGTGGGTCATTAGGCAAGTCCCAGGTGGCTCACAAGCAGGCTGGTAGGCAGTTAAGTGGCTGCTGCTGGGTGGGTGGGTGGGTGGCCTGTAACGTGAGCACAGCGGGACTGGCTACTGCCGGGGGGGGCAGAGTGTGAGTGACTTACCCAAGTGACTTGTGACCTTCCCTGCCGGCTTCCCCAATGACTTTGCTTGTGGGAAGCTGGCAGGGAAGGTGGCACATGGCGATCACATGATCACAGGATGCTGCAGCCATTGTAAGTGTGAGCTGGTTGCCAAGCACCCAGATTGTGATCACATGACCGCGAGGGTGCTGGGACGGCCGGAACTTTGAGGGCCGGTCATAACTCCCCCTCATTCAGCGCTGTCATAACTTTGAACAGTCGCTGAATGAGTGGTTGTTAAATGAGAACTACCTGTAATGTATATGTGAGTCTGGGGTGGTGGGAAGACGAAAGAAACCAATAGAGCTTTGCATAGTTCAGTGACTTACAACATGATGGCAGTTGAACTCCTTCATCACCGAGGCTTCGTTCAGAAACTCTATCCGCTCTCTCATACTTGCTGATTCATTGACAGTCTTGATGGCCACCCTGGTTTCTGGCTCATCTTTAACAACACCCTTTGCCAGCCCCTCATATACCATTCCGAAAGAGCCTTGTCCCAGTTCTCGGCACATAGTAATCTTTTCCCTGGGCACTTCCCATTCATCTGGCACGTACACTGCAAAATCACAGACAAATTTTGTGAAAATCACTCTGATATGAAAGCCTCAGTGAAAGTAGACAACATTAGGAACAGGAAAGTTTCCTTTCCTGTAATAATATATTTCACAATGCCAAATCTAATACTTTAAGAATTACTTTCCAATGGTGTTTACATCCACATTGAAATGCTTTGAAATCATTACATTGTTCCATCCTGTTGTAAACCTGCCCGAGTTGCAGGGAATGGGTGATGCCCAAGAATATACAGTGACTCTGTTGACATGATACATTGAACTGTGTTTGTTTAGTCATGATTTAGCAAAGGAACCACAACAGCTGTGTTCACACAACATCCTAAGCCTAAACCAAACCTAAACCAATCACATATAACATTATGGCTAAAGCTACTGATTACAACCAGTGAGTCTATGGTTCAAACAGGATATGAATTTACATATCCAGATGCTAGAGAGGGAAACTCATACAGATAATTAGGTGAATGCTAGAATGCCAAAATTTTCAGACATTTAACATCTGATTCTAGGAGTGGAAGTCCACTCGGCTTAAAGTTGCCAAGGTTGAGAAACACCGCCCCTAACTAAAAGACATCCCGACCCCCTTCATAGGAAGAAATCTGATAACTGAAGGACAGCTGTATAACTTATACGCTGAAAGCAGTGAAATTTGAAGAAGCCACTTGAATCATTCCAAGAGCTGACTATTGTTTCAGGAGCAGGAGCAGGAGCAGGAGCAGGAGCAGGAGCAGGAGCAGGAGCAGGAGCAGGAG